ACATATGAAATATCTTAATAATAAAATAAATCAATTAATAAATAATACTCTCTATTTAGGAGCTAGTTTAAAAATCTCAAACTTAAATCTTCATATGAGAATGTTTAACTCAATAATAATGTCAACTATTCTATATGCTAGTCCGATTTGGGCCATTGATTTGTTTTATAACCTGGAAAAATTCCATATTATCTATTTACGCAAAATATTTAAACTCGAACGTACTATACCTGGTTATGCTATTCGCTCAGAAACAAACAGATGTCAAATTTTTCCATTCTTTATGAAAAGATTAATAAGATTTTACTATCGTTTAATACATTCTAAAGATGATAATATTACGTTTTTACTTCATATAATGAAAAATAAAATGGGAAACGATAATACCAATAATACAACTTGGTTCTATAAATTTAATAAAATATTACAGTCATTTGGTGTATCTACTATCTTACTTGACAACTCAATTGACAATTGGAATAATGCTTACACTATGATGATGGATTCAGCGATTTCACAATCGATGATTAGTGATCAAAATTCTCTACTCAATTCAACATATCATCCCTGGTATTTGCATATCCTAAGTTTTCCCACTCAATCGAACATTATTACAATGAATACAAATTTAAATATTAAACGTTTATTACTACAACTGAGACTAAATCGATTCTCCTTAATTGTGAATAATAATTATATAGATTTTACTAAATCATGTTATTGGTGTGATTCCAACAACTTTTCTGCATTTCATATAATTAGAGACTGTACTGCATTGAAAAAATATCATCAAAGATTTCAGACACTGAGAATATTTTCTACAAATAACGAATTTGATTATAGAATTAAACTGGGCAATTTAACGAAAATAGATATGTATAAAATTGTTAATTTCTTTAACCAAATTATTAATGATTTGAATAATCAACATAAGAAATAAATTGTGTTTAATTAATTATTTTTATATAAATAACTAATTTATATTTACTTATTATTTGTATTGTTTATATCTAAATCATTACCCCCTGTAACAAGGACTCCTTATTATGAATAAATATATTTGATTGATTGATTATTATTTTATTTATTTTGTCACAGTCATCATTTTGTGTGCTTTATTTGCAAAAAATAAATAAAAAATATTGTTGTTGTCGAAACTGTGTTGTTATTTATGTTTGTATACTGGCACAATGAAAAGAAGGTCACTTCATTGTGCCAGTATACAAAAATAAAAAATATATTTTTTAATCATTTTTTGACAGATTTTCACATTATGTTTAAGTTTTGTTTCATTTTCTGATCCACTACTTTTGTTCAGTTTTGATTTTGTTTTCTCTATGCATGACAAATCTTGGATTTACTCTCTGTAAAGCAAAGCTATCATAAAAGAAAATGAAATGCTTTTAGATTTACTGATAGATACATTGTTTTTACAAGTTTAATAAAAATCTGCTTATATACTTTCCAACTGAAATTTTGTCCACTACATAATTGACTTATATCCTCAATATCAATATACAGTAATGGACAAGTCATTATTATTATATACAGTGGAATCCTCTTATACTCACAGTAACAGATCTGCTGAAATGAAGTAAAAATACAGTAGTGCCTCGTACTTCAAATTTAATTCATTCCAGAAGGTCATTTGAACTCTGAATCAAATTTTTCCATTAGAAATAGTGGAAAGTGAATTAATCCATTTCAATAAACTTCAAACAGCAAGTACACATAATTTAAGATAAAAATAACATAATTAAATGCCCTAATAATAAATTAAAACACAAAAGCCATAAATAAAATACATAAATACTGTATAATAAAATAAAAATTGCATTTACTGGTTGTAGGCCTACACTGTTGACTTAGGAATCTTAACATAGATGTGTAATTTAATTATAACAGTTGTAAAATTTTAAATATAGATAATGTGAGATTTCATTCTTTGTTTAGAAACTTGCTTTAAACTCTCTAGTTCACATTTTGTTTGAATAAAATCAAATTGTAATGTCTTCAGATAAAAAGCTTATCAAATATATTATGCTTCAGTTTCAAAAAGGTTATAATGAAGTACAAATAGTAAAAAAAAAAATTTGTATTGTGTATGAGAAGGATGCTTCTAAACTTCAAACATCTTAATTGTGGTTTAAAAAGTTCTATTTGGGAAATTCTGAACTAAAGGATACAAAACGTACAGGGCACTAAAAAGATGTTGATGAAGAAAAATTGCAGGAAGACATTGTTAAAATTTGACAAAAAACAAAACACATATAACCAAACATACTAAAAACAAAGCAAAAAAAGCACTGAAAATATATGAGAATAACACAAGAGTGAGAGTGAGAGATGACTTAAACACATAACAGATTGCATTTATGCTTCAAATGCATTTTTTCAGTGCAGACACATTTCAAACTTTGAAACCTTGTTTGAACTCTGAAGCAAATTTTTGTTGAATTTTGCATTCAAACTCTGAAGTGGCACCACTGTGTATTGATTCAGCATCTGGACCTGAAGAAAACATCCATGAACTGCAATTATTTTCTCAGGTCCATTACTGAGATCTGTTCTAATTTGATTTTACCATATAGCAATGGACTTTTTGATATAACAGACTGTAATAATTAGTAATCATGATAAAATGAATTTTTGTTATAATGGACCAATTTATTCAGTCTAATAGTGGTCCATTATACTGAGCTTTTATGGTATAAGTTAGAATTCTGATTAATAACGTTCAATAAGTGACTTTTTACCTTATAATCCTTTTAAAATCTTACCTTTAACTTCATTTTCAATATCTTCTATAACAATACTTATGAGAGCTTGATTTTCTTTATTTCCATCATTATTTTCTGTTTGAAATTCAGTGACATCATTTTGTTTTTCTTCCACATTCCTGTAAATTCCTCGACCTCTTCCTCTTCCTCTAAACCTTCCTCTATTATTTCCTCGTCTTCCTCGTGACCAAGGTGGTCTATCTATAGACATGTACATTTTGAAATCTTCAGTACAATCTGTATCAACTTCTTTTTCATCGTCTTCTGTTTCTTCTTTAACTTCTGGTTCTTCTTCCATAACTTCTTCAGAAACTGAATTTTCCTAATTTAAAACATAATTAATTAATTGCATCTCATATATATAAATACATCTTCTGTATGTGAATAATGTCTTCTATAAATAAATTAATTTATATACATACATACATACATACGAACAGGGTTATTCAAAAATAACTCACTACAGGCATACCTCGACTTACGTCGGTTTCGAGTTACGTCGTTCCCGATTATACGTCGCTTGTTAAAAAAGTATATGGAAAAATAAAAATCAAGTTTAAGTCATTTTATTCGACTTTACGTCTGTCCGCCACAAATATTGAAGTCGTAATATCACTAGATAAACGTTTAAAGCACATAAAATCATATTAAAATATATACAAGTATGTACTGTATTTACAGTACACGCATTCGTAAATTTAGATTACTTTTTTGTACTATATTAAAAACTAAAATTTATTTGTTTGTAAGCTTAAAATAGATTTTTATTAACCATATATTATTTAAAATGCTTTCCTAGTGATAAGTAGATTCGGAGACAGGTAAATTCGACTTACGTCGTTTTCCTGGAACCAATTACCGACGTAAGGCGAGGTATACCTGTATTTCAAAAAATTGTTCTGTTTATTGCAAACTAATACTAACATATAGTGTAAGGAAAATTTCTAGAAAAATTCTGAAAGTTTTTTTGAGACAGAGATGCAGTATTTCATCGATAATCCTTCTTTGCTTGACACAAGATATCAGTGCAATATTTTAATTCACAAAACATGGTATAGTACATCCAAGTCAGTAATTACAAACAGTATGGCTTCATTAATAGATGCTTTTGGACAATTCTCCAGATAGTTGTTTGTGGCAGTTGAAGCTCTTTACTTACCGAGTTGTTGATTTCCATGGGCTTGGTTGAAAAACTTTGAGGACTTGGTGCGTAGTCTTGCCCAACACTAATGGTCAGTCTCTAGATTTTCCTTTAAACAGACAATCCGTAGCACAAATTGTCTGTACCAGTTATGAATGCTTTACTCTGATGGTGACTCTCTATCAAATTTCATCTTCTAGTGTCATCATACAGTTATAACAGACTTCATTTTGTAAAACTGCAGGACATAATATGTCTTCTCTCCAGACGCTATTATCTTGCATTGCACATTCCTAGTGGCAATGCAACATAGTGAAACTAGTGGTATGTAGGATAGTCCTTTTTATTTGAATAGTTCAAATAAAAACTTGTGGATTCAAGGCACACATATATACCCATATAATAGGTGCCTTGTACCCATATAATGATAATATGTTCCATACATTCCTTACATAAAATTACAAAACCGGGGAGTTCTTTTTGAATAATCCTATATACTACATATAGGGTTATTCAAAAAGAACTAAAAGTTTTCAGCCTGTCTTCTTTAAACAATAGGTGGCATATCATTTTTTCATTGGCTGATCAGTTGATCCATTAATAAATTCAAATAAAAATTCAGTTCAAATCTGTTAATTTGCTACTGAGATATCATCAACATAACTAACACAGTTGGAGTAAATTTTGAAAATGTTTAAAACTGAGTTTTGAGTTGTGACTGAGATGTGTGTCTTAATAAAAGAGGAAAATGTCCATTTCAGATTAAAGAGAATCTGGATGTTGTTTATAGAGACTTTTCTTCTTCATATTTCAATGTAAAAGTATGGACAATTCCAATTAGCAAAAGAATCCATTAAAGGTGAACTATACCAGGAAGATCTATTGGAGTGGTACATACTAAGTAAATCAATATTGTGAAAAAATTTTGGAAGACAGACAGCTAAAGACTAAAGAATTAGCAGCAAAATTTACTCAAAAACGACAATGCTGTAGTTTCTACATGAACATCTCAATATGAATAAGATCAGTGCAAGGTGAGTATTGCAACTTCTTTCTTCAGTTCAAAAAGAACAACAAATGAGAAGCAGAGTTATCCTTTTGTAAACAGTGAGAGAAAGAAGTTATTGAATCAATTGTTACTGGAATAAAACTAATTCCTTATCTCATGAGCCTCTATCAAAAAGAAAATCAATAAAATTGCATCATATTGGTTCTACAAGGCCCAACAAAGCAAAAGTGACATAGTCACAAAAGAAGATCATGGCCATGATTTTTTTTGGATTCTGAGATCCTTCTAATTGATTTGAAAAAACAATATCACCATCTTCAAGGAATATTATGCTTCTTTAGTGCATTAAAAGATTCCATTAAAGAAGAACAACATAGAAAACTGTTACATAAATTGTTGTTGACAATGCACCAGTGAACACTTCAATTTTGCAAAGGTTGCAATTCAAAAAATGTGGCTTCAGGGAACTAAATCTAAAACTAAATTCACCTTACAGCTCTGATCTGGCATCAAACAATTATTATTTGTCTCAAAATTGAAATCAGATTTGCAAGGAAAAAAATTTGAAACTGATGAATAAATGCAGTCTGCAGTAATGGAATATTTTAAAGAAAAGAATTTGGACTGTAGAACTGTTAATAAAGCAATGTATTAACTTATAGAGAGACTATATAAAAAAGATTATTTTCCTCCATTATAGTGTCAGACTAGAACTTTTGGACCTTACTACATGTATATATGGGGGGGTGCAAAAGTAGGAATGTAGTGATGGAAAAAAAAACAGGCACAATACTCATTGCATTTATTATATAAACAAACGAATGTTGCATATACATGTAATAACAAGCACAACCTTAATCCCTAAGGTACTCAAACTGCTTGCCATCATTATTCACACACTCCGAGAACACGCACATGCACACTCTGGAACAAAGGTCTTTATCAGCATTTTTATTAGTTATGATAGAATATGATTAATGACACAAAAAATTATCAAAAATAAGGCCAACTAACTTAATGTGCTAATAATTTTAATGAATTAAGCATCATAACACTAATGTCATACTATTGTATACCTAGTTTTGCACTCCCCCTGTATATAAGAAGACATTTTCTGTAATGGAGAAGACTCATTATTTGATGAGATTTTATTTAAACTAATTAAATTAATAATGTAAAATTAGAAATCAGATGATTCCTTATAATCATAATATAAATGAAAAAATAGATTACATCTATTTTCTTCATAAAAAAAATATAGTCTTAAATATTTACAAACTATTATTCACAAAAAATTCATGATAACATTTAAATATATACAGTGATACCTTGGTTTTCGTCAATAATCCGTCTGAAAACAATTGGTGAAATCCAAAATTGATGAAAACTGGGCAATTTTTCCATATGAATCAATGTAAATCCAATTAATTCATTCTAGACACTCCAAAATACATACTAAAAACACATTTTATAGAAAATAAAATATAGTGTTCAATACTAAAAGCAATAAAAAATTAATATAAAATGAATATAAAAAACTAATGTAATGAATAAAACGAACATTTAATAGGGCATTCAAAGGGCAGCTGGCTCTGAAAACTTTCTTTTTTCCCATGATGGAGCTAAAAGGAAAGGAAAGCAATGGAATTGGCTAGACATGCAATGTAATGCTCACAACATTGAGATGAGAAACAAGAAACAGCACAACAAAAAACAATGCCGTATTGAACAGGAAAACAGATGGGTCATCCTTTGTTTTCACAAAATTAGCAGCAAGGTCACATGGCATACCAACAAAATCTGAGGTAGCTGATGAAAACTGAGACAAACTTTTGCAGAAACTGACAATAACCAAAGTCAATGAAAACCAAGGTATTACTGTATTTCTCTAAAAATAAATTATGCTCTGTAAAATAATCCATTACTTTATAAAAATAAATATGGAAAGTGTTAGAATTAATATTTTTAAACAATTTGTGTAATAGTACTAATTAAAAAACAAAATCAGAGATTCATTCCAAAAATATGTGTCATATAATATATATTGTATATAACAATCTATGTATAATTATCTGTATATGTACAGATTATTAAATAAAATTTTATTTTATGAATCTTTTTCTAAAAAAATTTAATATGTTGTTCTATGTAATAATATTTATGTAATAGTCATATATAGATAATCCTCAGTTAATGTGATAGATATGTTCCTTGAAAGCAGTTTCCAACCTCATTCAAGATATATGACACACAACCACCCGCTATAACCTTGACCTTTGACCTTCAAAATTTAATAGTATCAATGCCCCTTATATTCAAGTTACCATGCTAAATTTTATTTCTTAATATTTAGCCCATCCTGAGACATTAAACCAAATAGATATCAATGTGTTCGTGTGTTGGCATCAATTTTTTGACTTTTTTGGGATCAAGGTGTCTGTCTCAAAACATCAAAACCCTGGATAGTCAAATGTGACAAATTACAATATTATATTATGACAACCAGGAAAGTAGCCTGTGTTATGCCAGAAAAGTAAAAATGTGGTAAAAAAAATTCTCCAAAATTAATAAACCATATTAAAATAAAAACATTAACTGAAAGTAGATTAATCAAGGACTAACTGTATGTAATTATATTTAATTTACATATAAATTAGATAGATTATGATCAAAAATTTATAAAAATTAATTTGAACTACTTTTTTTTACTATATTTGCAATCTTCAAAACCATGAGCAAAAATATTAACTTACTGCAATAAATCTGACTTACATGCAGTGGTGATATTCAGCAGGTTCGCACAGGTTCGGCCGAACCCGTTGTTAACATTTTCAAAGTTTTCCGAACCCGTTGTTAAACACACGTAACATTTCTCAGTGATTTTGTTTCTTTTAAAAAATTTATTAAAATATACGTATTATACTCTGTAACACTACTAAACTAGAGCCTTATACCCTGTTCGCCTGGTGCATCCTCCATCGACCGTTTCAATCTCGACTGAAACGAGGTTCAATCGCGATCGACTCGAGAGAGTTCTCGAAACTAGATCCAGTCATAAGAGAGATCCCACAATCCCACGCGCGCGAGAAAATACAAGATGGCTGCGGAACACGTGTCGGGCTATCGACAGCGAAATAAGAAAGATATTGTATTTCGAGAAACGATGACATCTGTCTATTATTATAATAATACCTAACGATAAAATAAATGATTTAGAAAAGTTTTTCTTGTTTAACTGCTTTCCCTATGACTTTTTCTGATTAAAAAAAACCAATTTTTATGTTTATAAAATATTTTGAATGAAAAATATTAAAATATGTACAAAATAAACCATTTTGAACACTCTTTTTTATTATTTATAAAAAAATATAGTTCTGGCATAAACAATGTTAAATTTTAACTGACTTAATTTTGCAAATGCATTTTTTTTTTATTTATATGGGTATCTTAAGGTCAGTTTTTTGCGCTAATGTTGCTAATGCACCATTTGAGCGCAAAAAAATTGTTAAGGAAAAATTTTCTGTTAGCGAACCCTTTGTTAAATATTTCGAATATCACCGCTGCTTACATGAATAGAAAATTGGACTTTATATTAATAATATGAAAGGCTTGGGACAGAAAAATGATATTTTATTACATCTCATTTATAAAAAAATATAGCTTTTAATTTAAAAAAAAAATTCTGAAAATTTGAAATTGAATAATCCTGTTGCATGGAAAATATCAAAAATCCAATTAAATGAAAAAAAAAACCCACTAATGTTTGTCTTATTTTACATACTCAAAATGACTATCTTCTGCAACAATGCATGCCTGTTCCATTAAAACTACAGAATTCTACATGGCAACAGCATATCACCCATTATGGTAGCATAAATAGACAAAATACCAATATGTTTATGAAGATTGCATACATTCAATGATTGTGTTTCATAAACTTTGAACTTCAAGAAGCCACACAGATGTTCAACTAAATCATTTGTTCCTATCCATGGCAATGCAAATGTTTTATTTTAACTCATCTCACATTGTATTCTTGTTATACAATTTTACATATAAGACATATTTTTATTTTTTAGTCTGAACTGGAATCTAGTCAGTATTTTGGAACAAAAAAAAAGTGAAATTACATATTTTGTTATTCTCTACATCTTTGACATTGATGTCCTATTCCTTTTTGGAACAAACAACTTTTATCTCTGCAACTTAAGAAGGGAGAGAGCAAATGGTATTATCATTGTTTCTTCCATCATGTCTCCAACATGTTGTGGTGGGTAGTTTTATGATCTTTGTTGTAGTGTCTCAGTGGGGTTCTCTCATCTGATTGTCATAGCCAGTTCCAACTAAGAGGACACCCATCAATGCCAAGAGCTGGAAGGTACCCAGGCAGTATATTTAATTTTTATATTGTCCACAGAAAATTTCTGATATCTTTAATTTCTTGGTTTTCACATTAATGAATTCCAAATGCCACACTAATTACCTAATTAATTTCCAGGAACCTCTCAAAACAGACATGCTCCAAGTTTGACTGAGGTAGTGATCAAAGTTTGCTGCTCAGTATCTGAAAAAAAAAAAGCTCCAGATGGACAGTTGCCTGCAAACTTGAACTAGTCAAGTCTGTAGTGCATACTATCATTCACAAAAATTTGAAACTAAGACACTGTAAGAATGCAGTTCATAAGCTGCATTCTAAGCTTATCAGAGAATAAAAGATCAATTATTGAAAACTTTACAAAAAGTATCTTTATGGTAAAAAAAAAAGCAGAAATTTATCATAATCTCAACAAAGTATGGACATACCTAGATCACTGTAATAAGCAATAAGCTATTTATTACAAGCCAACTAATACTAACCCTGCAAAAATGATTCAGAAAACATCATGAAATTTTTTGTCTAAATCATTATGTTATTCTGTTATCAGAAGTTTCAGCTTTATAAAGTGGACAAAAATGTTAAATGTAACTTAAAATATTATCAAACAAATATTCTAGACCAGTTTTAATAGAATGGAATAATAAAATTCCATGAGTGTTTGGTGGATCCAATTATGGGGTTTAACTTCATAAGGACAAAGTCTTGACTCAAACATCCTAATTAGCTTGATCCATTCTGCTCATTCAGGATATATGCATAGAATTCACTGAAGCACTCCCAAAAAGTTTTTTGTATTTTTTGATTGCTGAAACAAAATCTAGATCAGCAATGACAAACTTTTTCCAAAGGTAAGTCAAAATCAAATTCAAAATTTAGTAACTCCAAATCATGGGTCAAACATTTAATTTGAGTAATTAAAAAATAACAAAAAAATTTTTACAAATTTTGTTTTATTGTTATTTTTCTGATATATAAATTATTAAAAAGTTAAATTATCTTCTTCTTTTCACTTATATAGAACATGATTATAACAAACAAATATTTTGTTCAATGAGAAATATGATATTCTTTATTTTATAATTTTTCTGGGGTTCATAATTAATGGCCTTTGAGACTTTACATGACAGCTTTAGATCTTGCTTTCACATAACATAGGTAAAGTTTTGGAATCTATAAAATATTTTTTTTATAATTTATAAAAACTAATACTTTCTAAACTTTTAATATAAGTACCTTCCTTAATCTATATATGAATTAAATATTTTCCATCATTGTTCAGGGTCAATGTTATACAAAAACTTTAGAAGAGTAATGAAAACTGTGAGAAAGAATGGGAGCAGTTTGACTGAACTAGTCTCCTCTATTAGGAACTCCAATGTCAAGCTATAGTTAAATAAAATGTGATCAGATAGTACAAAATCAGAACTGGCATTGCAATCTTTTTAGTACTTAGAACCAAGCCCTAGAGATCAAGACCATGTAACACCTTACAAATAAATAAAATTCAAAAAATAAGTAGCCAATAAACATTCATATATAGATACAAGAAAAACTTGTCCTCATTTCTTATATTACACTTCATTTATAATATTGATTTAATAAAATGATAATCATTTTGTGCATTGAAGTCATTTCAAATCCCAAAAGTACTGAATATTTGGCAAACAATTCTATTTAGCTGTTTATGACATTTCAAATTATGACTTATGGTAGGATCAGGAATTTATGACCAATACAGTCCTATTGTAATAAGATCAAATGTCAAAAATAGTAAAATTTAAGTGTATGAATTAAGGAAATTTCACTGAATGAATATTAAATATAGATTAAATGTAATCTTTTCCTTCCCTTTATTTTTAATACAGATGAAATAGTTTTTCTCTGACTAGTTTTCTTAAAATATACAATGATATTTCATACAATCAGTCTCTGTATTTGCAGATTCATATTTAATACAATAAAAATTTTACTGCTGCTCACTGCATTCATCCTCAGTGATGGTGTGCATGTGTCTTCAGCCTTGCAGTGAGCATTATCTTTTGATCTTCATGTGTTTTGCATGTCTAGTGAATATATTGACATATGCCTTGTTCTCAACTGTTATAAAATAATGATGCATTATTATCGGAAACATAAATCTGAAGTGTTATTGTAAAACACAAAATCTTTTAAAGCACATTTAACATTTTTCTGTTAATTGTAAATGATTCACAAGTAATTAGGTATATTTAAAAAATATACACCTAAATATATAAATTCTACTCTCATCTAAATAGGTCTAGACCTGTATAGATGAAAGTAAAATTTCATATTTTATATAGTGTTGATACGTAATCTCCACAATGGTATTCATATTGAAGAATGAATATGTTTCCATCAAGGTAAATAATAATTGTAAAAATCTAATCATAACATATTATTTTAAAAGTATGAAAAATATAATATGAATTTATAAAATTAATATGCTTTACATCTTAAAATTATAAAATAATTTAAAACATTTGTTATGCATGATAGTTTCCATGTGTTTAATTGAATTCCTACAGCATGATAGTCCTATGCCATAATTTTTTAAAAATTAAAAATACTCACCATTGGTATGTATTACTGATAATGAGTTCATCTTCATATCTGTATCCATCTTCATTAACATGACATTATTAATCCAGAAGATTACTACTTAGAACCATTTCAAATACATTTCCTCAAATAGATCCATCATATACTTCAACCAAAATTGATTTCTCTCTGCATAATACTATTCTGCCACAAAACAATGATACCTAATAATAGGAATGATAAACATCCTATGCTAATGTCAATCTCATTTAAAATATTCAAAAAAAATATTTTTAATGATGTAAACTGTGCATTAGTTAAAATGATGGCATAGCACTTTCCACCCCAAGCCATTCATGCAATCAAAAATTTATAGAAAATAATGAAAATTATTTTATCAATTTTTGAAAAAAATAAATGTAAATTGTCATTTGAGGATCAAATGTCATAAAAAATAATAGCTAAATAAATTTATTAATAATCAAAAATTACTTAATAACTGCAATTATCTCTAATAAAAATTTATAAAACAAATAATATAATTACTTTTATGGAAATATCAATATAATCTCCTTTTCCAAGGCATTTATGTCCAAGAATATGACGTTCCTTTTTAAAAGCTCTTTTACATCGAGGACAATGATACTGTCCATCAGAACCTATTTCAGGAAGTGGTTGTGTTTCTTCAGTTTTTGTTGTTTCTTGTTCTTCTATAGCACATCTTCAATTAAATAAAAAAATTTTTTTTGATCAAAGACTATCAATAAAAGGGTGTGTTTTTGTATTTTTATAAATAATAAGTTTTATATTTGAAATGAAAAGACAGTAATTATCAGTTCTTTTTAATAAAATTTAAATTTATTTAAATTCTATTAAAAAGTTAAATTAAATTTATTTAGTAGCACGATTTGTGTTTGTGAATCATTACAATTTAAATTTTTGAAATATTCACCAGAATATAAATTACTATCATTATTATTACAAAATTAACAATATATTGTATTAAATTACTGTATTATGAAAACACAAAAAGAACAATATATAATTAAATAAAATTTTAAAATGCAAACAAAATATAAAAACTTTCTCCAATTTAGTTCTAGAAACTATATTAATAGCAATTTTTAATTTCAAAATAAATCTATAAAAAATTAATTTACAAATCAAAACAGTGTTTTATCTTATATCAATATTACAATAAAATAGAATAAAATATTCTTTATTGACAGGATATTAAGGGATTATAATCTGTTACAACAAAACTTAGTAATATTTAGTAGCAGCAATAAAAAATATTGTACAGGTTGTACACAAAATTAAAGTTACAAAACAGAAAACAATCTCTAAATTCATTTCTGTGTAGATGCTAAGCATAACATCAACACAATATTCTTTCTTAAGTCACTAATTACAAAATAAACTTTTATTATATGGTATAAATCAAAATCATTAAATTAATTATTTTTACAAGAAAAATTGTGAAAATTAAAATAAAATAAACCAATAAAGATAAAATTTTTGTTCAGTCTGAGTTGAGTGAAAAATCAAACAACTTCATCTTTGTATAAGCTGTCTCAGGAGAAACCACAATTGCACCATGAGAAATTTGGAATTATTTAGCAGATTCCAATCTTTCAAGAGGCATGAATTAAGAGCATCTTTCATCAAAAAGATTATATCTAAACTTCTAGTCTTCATCATTAGAAACAGTTGACAAAATTCTAAAAGTATTTAGCCAACAACTTTTAAAACTTAATTATCCAATTATTAAACTCACTAGTTTGATGATATGCTATTTTATGTAGAAGTTGCTGTTATCAGACCATCCACAGAATCTTTAATCTTCTTATACTGTTTTTATTACAAAATGAATAAAGCCAAAATCTATTAGAGTCATGATGTAAAATACAATCTGGAACACTATGCTTAACTCCAAAAAAGGATAGGTAGAAAAATATTATACTTTTTCAAGTTTATAAAAATAATACAAAGACGAAACTGGACAAGCAAAACATAACATTAGAAAAATTATACTATTGAATTTAAATTCATATTTTATATCTATAAGGTTAATTTTTGACATCAATTGAGCCAGGTTATTTAAAAGATATATGAATCTTTGTTGATATATATTAAAAAATGCTGTTATAAAAAAGCACATCTAAATAAATAACTTTTGGAACCACTTTTAATCTTGTATTTTCAAGTATTACTTTCCTTGCACTTCTAAAACCTTTCCATTGTTTCTGAAAATGATCATTTTGTTTTATTTAGATTTATTTTCAAATGTAGAGACCTCAGAAAGAACTCCCAAAATATTTAGTTTCCTTTGCAATGCCATTTTATCAGATGCAAACAAATATCATCAGTGGCATATAAACAGTAAATTACTTTATTCCCTATTGCTATACCATCATTTTCATTCTGAAAAATTCATTCCACATCAGAAATATACAAATTGATAAGAAATGGTTCTCTGAGATAAACCTCTATTCAACTCAAACAATATACATTCAACATAGCCTTGAGAAACTGTTATTTTATAATTACTAAATAATTATTCTAAATACTTTATTTTAACAAATCTTAGACTATTCATTTTATTAATAAATTTAATGCCAAAACAAAAATGTAACTGGAGGGTTGGCACCTCTTCAATGCCCGGTCAGGAATGACACCACCATGTCCCGAATGATACAGGAGCCGTGATAGCAAATCAGTTTGGATTAGAAAGTAGGTCACGCAGGCACTAGCAGGCACATCTCACAGAGACTAGGTTAACAAAACAAATAACCATTTAATTTCAACAAAAAGCAGTACATGATAGACTACATGATATATATATAAGGTCATATCAACTTAGCCTATCTATCTAGCAATCACAAGAGAGAGGTTCACATGTGATTCATACGAGGATACCTTGTAGAGGATCTTGTAGAGCATGGAGATCTGATGAATGCCTGTTAGATCGAAAAGAAGAAAGTTCTAGATGACAGTTCTTATCCTGGGTGTACAATAGATACTATGGCCATAGGCAAGAAAGATATGGCTGTAGAGATAATTAAAACGATGTATCTGACAATATAATAGAACGATATATCCAAATGTATAATAAAATGATGTATCCAAATGTATACGTAATTTGAGGCATAGGGAAAAATGAGTGGTCCAGTTGAGGAACTGGCAATGACTGCCTAAACTTGCAGTTACTTGCTATATTGAACTGATGAAATTGAGACAGTAGGTCAGAAGGTTATGAGAAAACGTCACTTTCACTACTCAGAACTTAACAGACAATTCACTCCCAGGTGTGAAAGTTGACAGTTATTCAACAAAGTTTTATTGTCAAGATGTTATGTTGTGATTTAGTTATGTTAATAAATTATGCAGTGTGGAGTCTCACAAAAATTTAAAAGTTTGATTCTTTTGATTCTCATAAGTTATTACCTTTATCTTCATAAAATCAATTGTTATAATTGTTATAACAAACTGATATGGACCATGGTATAAGGAGTCCAATTCATCAGCAATTCAAGTTTAGCTATCAAATTAGAGAACACCAACAATTTAACAGATCAATAACTTTGTTCATAACTTTCAAAGTTTGATAATGTAAAATGAAGACTAAAGCTATAATTAAATAAGAATCTGTCATAAAAATAAATTTTCTGTTATCAATTTGTAAAATTAAAAAAAAATTAATTGTTATCTATGAAACACTGTGTAATTTGTCCTATCATTTTCATTATATAAAAACACCTTCATCAAATCTGATAATTGATTTCTAAAGTAAGCCTAAATTTGAACTAATTTAGACAAAAAGGTCAAATTACAGTAATTAAGACCTATAGATTATCATTTTTTCATTCAGTGAATAAAAAATTCTTTTAAGACATATTACCATTATAGTATTTTACTTTAATGCAGTAAAATTGGATTCATCTTTGTAACATATTACTAAACTAGCAGACACGCATTGTTGTGACTCAAAATGTATCTATTATAAATGTATAACACTTCCCACGTGGGGGGGAATTTTTCGAAAAATTTCTTCTTAGTGTACATTCTCTTGACATATCCTATTAAAACGCAATCAAAAACGCAAAAACCTGCATCTAAAGTAGTATAATAGAAGCCACGTTCTTCACAGTAAGCCTTAATCCTAACCATCTCCCTTCAGTGGGGGAATTTCGACATATATATTATATAAAAACACAAGCGTATTCGAATGCAGCATTGTGTCAAAATTTCAAAGGAATCGATAGGAACAAATGAACATTACATTTTTATTTATATAGATAGATAGAAGATGATGTGCTTTAGTTCATTTTCACAGAAAAGTATAATGCCTCACAGAAAAGCAAACTTAGGGCATCGTACTCGTAGTGCCATCTGTTGGGCATAAAAGCCTTAACCTAGATTATATCTTTTAATTTATATGAATGTTTAATGGAATAATATACAGCCTATGTCCACTCTAAAGTTCCATTCTAAATATTGGTGAAAGAATTTTTGAAATCGGATGAGTAGTTTCAGAGATTACCCACTACATCCAAACTTACTTACAGTACTTACAAACATTACCTCTTTATAATATTAGTACAGATACAAAGATTGTCAAAAATAGTATAAATTTAAAAATTAATGTTATACACAAATCTGGTAATTTTAAAATTAGTTATAGCTCTGAACTGCTAATTAAAAAATGCTAAAAATTAGTAGATAAAAAAAAATCTAATTTTCTGCTTTTTCATCATCAATAAGATAAAGCTGTAATTAATTATAAATACATCACATTTTATATTAATTAAATTTATCAAATATTTATAAATAAATAATAAAATATTTTGAGTTTGCTCAATTTCATAAAAGTTATTATTTTGTATAAGTTTTTTCCTAATTGTGTTTTTGATGTTCATTTTTATATAAAGGATATAAAAAAAACAATTATCTATAAAGACGTTTTTCATAAATTAATTTTGAAAATGAACATACTTTTTTTGATTTTCTGTCTTTCTTGGTCTTCCTCTTCTCTTTTTAACTTGACCAGCATTTTGATTTCCTTGACTTGGTAAGGGAACAATGGTATCTTGTTCCCTTATAGTTTCTACAACAAGATGTATAGCATCGGATTTTTCTTGTTCTGCATTAGTTGAGATAGGATAAACTTTTAGAGAATTAGATAATTGATTTGAAAAATTTTCCTGGATAATTTGATTTTTTGGTTCTGAAAATATAATTTATTAGATAAAATAAACTATAAATAAATAATTATTTTGAGTATTTGTATCCTATAAATTTAATTCTTTTAAAATTACAAACATTAAAATTATAATAATTATTGTTTTCTTTAAAGAAAACAAATTATTATAATTTAAAGATTATAAGCTGATAAATTTTTATATGCTGGAATGTAATACTTTAAAACATTAATTTCTTAAACAATTTTAAAAATATACTAATAAATATTTACAGATAATTAAGTTAATTTAATCTATAGTTATATCTTTCAAATGTCCAAAAATGTTATTTGCTTATATCAGGTTATTCTTTTTAACATTTCATTTATATAAAATATATATTTCACAATGTTTGCTTTTCTCCTACATTTCTTTCTTATTTCAGAATAATTAGTTAGTTATCCATTTAGATTTTGGTTTAATCTTATAAATATTAACTAATTAAAACTAGATAATTATTTTATTTTGCTTGCAAAAATAATTTCTTTTTATCTAGAGAATTTTTTTCAATTCAAAAACATTCTGTCAGATAAAGTTATCTTCTAACTTAATCACTGGTACTAATAATAACTCTAAAAAACCCTTACCCTCAAATAATAAGTACACAGAAGTTGCATTATATGTATATGATGAATTCATGTATTTGCAAACCATTAAGTCTTTGTTTTTATATGTTCAAAATGTTTTAAATTTAATGTTCAAAAACATTCTATTCCTAGCATTTTGGTTTTGGAATTGATCTATAACCTGAAGCAGACCTTGGTTAAGGCCAAAAGCATTCATTTGATGATTTATTAAAGTTTGTCATCAGAAGTAAAGGTTCTTTATAGTTATTGTCAAATGACTCAAATACTAAATGTTTAGTATATCTTCTCTTCTAACTAGCATAAAAATATAAAAACTTTTATAATAATCAAAAAAGAAAACAGATAATGACCAATTCACTCAAATTATATTTTACCACTGCATACAAATCAGAATAATCTACATAAATCCAAAATGTAAAAAAGTCACCAATTTTTATCAAATCCATATACATGTATTTATAACTTAACATTAGATAAAATAAAATTATATTATATTCTTATTTAATTGTATAAAATAAATGGATAAAATATATAAAAACTTACCTTTGAGTGGTTCTAATCTCACATATAACTGCTCAAAGTCTTTATTTTCCTCAATGATGTGATCTTTATGAATAACTTGAATATGGCTAATGATTTCATTTTGTGTTAAGGCAAAACATTGACAAAGATTACAGGCAAATATACCTTCTAATTGTTGACCTTCTGCAAAATAATTAAAATGTATTTTTTAGCATGGAAATTATTTTTAATAAAAAAAATGACCCTAAAACAATAAACTGCAAAATAATTAAAATGTATTTTTTAGCATGGAAATTATTTTTAATAAAAAAAATGACCCTAAAACAATAAAAAAAAATATAATTACATTTTATTTTCATACCAGAATATTATATCTAGCTTTTGTTTAAAAATATAATATACAGTCGACCCCCCTATAACACGGGTTCCTATAGTTCAGATTCCCATATGATGGCAAAAAAATTGCGACAGTATCCGAACAAACATGGTAAAAAAACTCCTATAATTCCGTAAAACGTCATCGGGCAGCCGAACTACTTTCTGCCGTCCAGCGCCACGCTACAGAGAGTTTAGGCGGGTAAATTGAGTTTACTATCATCTGTACAGTATTATATAAAAATTGTATATAAATTAGGTACTGTACATATAATTATATATAAATTAGGTACTGTATATATAATTATATATTAACTTAATTTATTGTAACTTTATTATAATTATATATATACTTTCTGCTGTCCAGCGCCACACTACGGAGAGTTTAGGTGAGTAAGTTGAGTTTACTATCATCTGTACAGTATGTAAATTAGGTACCGTAAGTCTAATACAGTACTAATTTTATACATTTCTTGTGAAAGAAACATTTCTTATTCAACAGCCATAAAAATTATTTATATTAATAATGTCTCCAAAGTTCAACGAAGTTTTCGCAGAAAAATAACTTATCAGAAATCGCGCCCGCCATTTGGTGCGCTGTTCCGCAACGAAAACAAGCTTAAGCAATGGCGACGTCGAACGGTGCACACTCGGTAAGTAATCCTACAATTTTTTTTGTTTATAGCATAGTTTATACGGATTAGTCCCAAAAAAATATACGTGTTTTGGAAATGTTGAGTCTAATTAGTCTAGGAATTAATTAATTTTATGGAAGAAAACCTTTCAAACAGCCGTAGTCCATAAACTTCACATGTGTCGGGCTGTGATTGGCTAGGTCTCCTAAAACATCAATTTCATAAAAAACGGAACATATCTACCGTGTTATAGAGGGGTTGACTGTATATGTTACAAGACAGTTTAACCATATATGATTTTACGAGGGCTGTTCGGAAAGTTCGCAGCCTTGCCTATATGCGGCACTGTGATCAATTTAATTTTTGGAAGGAATAATTCAGCCATCTTCGCTAGAGATACGATACCAATTTTTGCTTGATTTGTCATAAAGTTTTGCCACGACAGCTTAGCAGATAGTCAGTGTGCACATGCTTTGTCAAAAATGGAGAAGACGGAGACTCGTGTGGTCATAAAATACCTGATGAAAAAAGGGTTGACCCCATCTGAAATCAAAGCTGACATGGATGAAGTTTTGGGAGAGTCTGCTCCTTCGTACACCACTGTGAAAAAATAGACAGCCCTTTTTAAATCTGGTAGAGAGGGTGTGGAAGATGACCCTCACAGCGGATGGCCGTCAACTGCTATCACTGAAGAAAATATCGACAAATTTCACGATTTGGTATTAGCAGATCACCGTTTGAAAATGCATGAGATAGCTGAAACAACAGGAATCTCTGTCGACCGAGTGCACCACATCCTAACCGAAAATTTGGGTATGAAGAAGGTCTCAGCAAGGTGGGTGCCGCATCTGCTGACCGCTGAGCAAAAACGTGTTTGCACTTTGATGTCAAAGGAGTGTTTGGACTTCTACCAGAAAAACCCACAGGATTTCTTGCGTCGGTTTGTGACTACTGACAAAATGTGGATCCATTACTACACTCCTGAAACAAAAGAACAGTTGAAGCAATGGAAACACCACAGTTCACCACCACCAAAAAAGGCAAAGACAGTTCCATCAGCGGGGAAAGTGATGGACTCGGTTTTTTGGGATGCTAAAGGCATCATCTTTATTGACTACCTAGAAAGAGGAAAGACCATTAATGCTGTCTATTACTGTGAACTTTTGGAAAAACTGAAGAAAGAAATCGAAGAAAAGAGGCCACACTTGAATAAGAAAAGAGTTCTGTTCCACCACGATAATGCATCTGCACATTCTGCCAGAATCACTGAACAAAAGATAAATGAACTTTGCTTCCAATTAGTTCCACATCCACCATACTCATCTGATTTGGCCCCCAGTGACTTCCACCTTTTTCCAAACCTAAAAAAATTCTTGGCTGGAAAGAGATTCCACTCAAATGACGAAGTCATCTCTGAAATGAACGAGTATTTTGCACACCTTGAAAAATCGACCTATTGTGATGGCATAAAAAAGCTAGAACATCGCTGGAATAAGTGCATTGCTAACAAAGGAGACTACATTGAAAAATAAAAAAAGTTTTAACATTATTTTGTTTGTTGTTCTATTTGAGGCCGCAAACTTTCCGAACAGCCCTCAGACATAAAATTTTTGCAATAATTTGAGAATTAGATAACAAAAATGAACTAAAAAGCTATGATATCATCATTTTTATAATTTATAAGTTATAAATTATAACTTTTGAATTCACCTAATTAAAAACTTCTTGTTTTTCTAATTTGAAAAAGTTATTTTTTCTAATACAAAACCAGAAACAATTACATTAAGTACTGATGATACTGAAATTGAAAATTCAAAATGTAATTCAACATCCATAGGCAGGTCATTTTATACCTGCTTGGCAAATTCACAGAATAAAAAAACTCTTATCTGACAATTAACTACTAAAGAATCTATAAATTAAAAAAATTTTTGTCATAATAATCAAACAATATAGGTTATATTGAAAGTTATACATGCAATAGTATTTTAAAATTATAAATGCAAGCAAACAACAGTTAATGAAAAAAATAATGAAAGGCAATGTTCTAAGTAGACACTAAAGGATGACCTATTACTCAAATTTTCAAATTAACTATTTCTAATTTTACATTACATCATCAGGAATAAATTTCTAACTGAAAAAAGGGGAAAAATAATTTGATTAAAAAAGTTTAAAACCTCTAAATTGTAAATATAATATTTAGCCTTCCTTTTTATCTATTCCGAGTCTCAAATTACAAATGATATCTTTAAAAATGTTTATAAGTTTAAAATTATGAAAGAATATGTATACCTAATTATTATGCAACACTATGTAAACATACTTGTATTTAATAAATGTAAAAGATATGTTTACTATATGTTTATAGAGTGGGGGCCGAGGGGGAGAAAAATAAAAAAAACTCAATGAACGATAATATGTGATATATATCGTCATCATCTCCCTTGCTGTTTGGATTGCCGAGCGGTAACAATCAACAACATGTGGAAGCAGTTGAGTCAGAGATAGATGCTTCGTTTACAAACAACACAACCGTTTATTAAACACAAAAGAAGCTTACAAGATTACTGCAATCTTGGAAGTTCTGCGGCGGCTGCGGCCTCTGGGTCTTCCTCTCCTTTCCAAGATAGTCCCATTTTGAAGTAGTGTCCCTTGTTCACGAATGAACCATTCCATCACGTCTCGATGGCTCCGGGACGATGCGGTCGACTTCCGTTGATGGAAAGATGTCGATCCCAGGTCGGGAGATGGAGACGAAGATGGGTGCGAGACACACACACAACAACAGGTTCATCACTTGGAACTTTCGGGAGAAGAAGCCGTCGCGTCCTCGAATTTCCGGGGTTTTATCTGTTTTCTCTCAGATTCCCCTTTCCGATTGGTCTCCCGTCGTCACCTGATGACAACCCGAAACCTTTCGGGGGCGCGGGAGAGGTCAAAATCGAAGTTTAATTCGATCTCCAACCGGAAATGGTCGACGGACTTACATTCTTCTATTGTTT